TAATTTAGATTTGGAAATTTATTGAAATATATTAAACTTTCTGATGCATTACTATCTTTTGACGTATCGAGGACCACTTTTCCTCTTCTTCGGGAGTTTTAATAAACTATGCCATTCCCTCTTAAAATCTATTTGTAATTTTTGAAAAACTGTAAAACATTTTGCTAAGAAGCAAACCCTCACCCACACCTTCCATAGTCTCAGAGGCCATACTCCATCAAAGTCAACAAGACACTACGAATATCAATAAAAGTGTACAAATTGCACGTTCACATTTGTCGTCGGATTTTAATATCTTAATTTTGATCAAAATATATCGTTTACAAATAATGTATTAAGTGACTTTCTAGGATATTTTAGTATTATTTTTTAATTTAAATATCCCGTTTATTAGGTACATTAATGTAGTATTTAAGTTTGACGTGGAATCCTTCGGGATGCACCGAGCCCTGAATAGCAACTCTACCAGTTAAGAAGGTATGTTCGTACGAACACGGTTAATTACCCCCTTCCCAAAAACACAACATCTTTAAATTAAAGAAACCCTCTGTTCTTCGAGATGATAGGGGAAAATTTGGATCTTACTGGCCTAATTTTTTAATAAAATAAGTTTAAATTAGTAGCCGCTCTTATGGAAAAACTTTCGCGGTTCTAGGTTTTTATGAGTAATTACGGTTTTACCGTGACCTTTTTGTTTTTGTCAGTACTTAGTAAATTGTTTGAGGAATAGGATATTAAATGTAACACACCTCACCGGGTATTCTGAGGGGTAATTAATAAAAAAAACACAGTGAAATTCATGGCAGCCGGAAGTACTGCCTCTCGGCTTAGGAGCTGGGCTGAATAAATCATTCTATTGCCAGCACTGTTCCTATGGGGTAGAGTGGAAACCACGCTAAATTAAAATGTTGTGTCACACACAACCACAGACTGACGATAATTCATTTTCGATATAAACAATGTGGAACAATTCAAAGCAGGAAGAACGAACAGTGTGGGAGCTCAACTCAACCTAACTTGCATTAGGTTTTGCTAAGTTGTTCAGAAAACAAAAAAATCATGCGAGATATTGAATGTAATAATAAATATTATTTTTCTGGAACAACTATTCAATACTTCTCTTTTAACTATTTCCAAACATTTATTTACAATGTATTAAATTTAATTATTATTTATTATTATTATTATTATTATTATTATTATTATTATTATTATTATTATTATTATTATCATTACTAGTGACTGGTGGTCAATCGCCTGGCGGAAGTGCTTCGGATGCGTTGTGAGGGCCAGCTGGCGGGCCGCGCGTCTTGGCCACGGTCGATTGCGCAACGCGGTGCGGCTGCGGCGCGGTGCGGCGTGGCGCTCCGCGGCGCGCATCTAATGGCACGCTGTTGCACGTCAGTCGCCGGCGGACGCGCCGTGTCCGCGGGGCTGACGAGGCGGCTGCAGTGACGTACGGCGCTATATATCATACCGGTCCACCGCACCCGGCGCCCGCGCGCCGCCTGCGCTCCGGCGCCGTTCCCCGCGCCCGCCGGGCCCCGCTCGTGTCCCTGCGACGGTCCCGCCTCCACATCGCCGCCCACCCGCTCGCGCGGTTATCCCACGGTTCGCTCCGCACCTCCCTCGCCGGGCGCCCCCCCCCCACCGCGCTCCCGCTTCCGCATCCCTCTGTTCCCACTTCACTGGAGGCAATCGCTTCGAGACGAACTATGCCATTCGTCCTAGGACACGCTGTTTGGAAAAGCTATTGGTTTCAAGGAAGGCTATTTCAGGCAGCATTTGTTTGAAGCAATGTCCATATTTATTCAGTTAAATAGTTCTTTTTATTCAAATCATATTATTAAAGAGATAATAATGACCGTAGGAGTTTTGAAAATAGAATGTTTTTTTATCAATGCAGCAGTGTGTTTACAAAATTACTAAACGAAAAGTAATTTATATCACGATCCCTCTCTACATAACACAGAATTTAGTGAACAGTATTATTTAAATTATAATTATTATCTCAAGGACGTTTTAGTATTAAAGTTCATTAAAAATAAAGTAACTGTAAAGATCTCATAAAAACTAACACCGACAGAATGTTTCTTCTCTGTTGATTGAAAGGGATATAAGGGTATATTGTCACAACTATATTGCAAAATGTGTCTTGTTGCCTGTCTTCAATTTCTAATTACTTATTTTAATTTTTGGGAATAATTTTATATGTAATTGAATGTGAGTTATGAAGTACTGGTTCATCTGCTCGCTCATTTTATTTTTTCTAGGAAGTTCAAAGTGCCGTTGAAATGCGACCATGAACCTATTAAAAATGTTGAGAAGCAACATTCTCTAGCACCCTAGCATAGTATGTCAAATTTATTCAAGCAATTATCAATGATCACTATCAATGTAGAGTCGCAATTATTGATAGTTTTCAGGTCATAATTGCAAATCCAATTGTTGTTTAATAAAACGAGCTGGCTGCTGGGACGGGGCGGGGGGCGCAGCGAGGCAAGGTGTTTGCGTGGGCTCGTCGGCCGCTGCAGAGCGCGCACCTGGCGTGCATTTGTTTTGCAATCGCCGCGCGCGGCCTGCCGCAATACGCAGGCTGCGGCCGCTGGAAGACAAGTGAACAACGGCGGGCCGGGTGTGACCCGATTGCGTAATCCGGTTTGGCTTTTTGTTCGAAGCCACGCGGAACACTGGCGGCGGTGCGGTGCATTTGCCCTTTCGCGCCGTGGACGCGCGCTCGACGCATTTGGTTTTTCAAAAGAGGGGAAGGTTCACCCGGAACCTGCAGGATGGCCGATATTTCGTAAATACATGCTGAAAAAGTTAAATATTAATGAATTTACAATTCTCCCTCTTTGTTGATTTCATTACTGCAAGTATTGTTATCACCAAAAAGAGTTGTCAATTAATTTCATGGAGGAATAATGTAAATCGTTTATTTTGCATACTATATTAGATGATGATCTTCTGGTTCACTACCATTGTTGGAATTTGATTGCCTGAGAGATTGGTGATTCCGGGAGTGTCAACTGCTAAGGTCATCGGTCCCACAAGTGTAGTGCATGTTTTCTTCGCGGGAGATGGTGGTCATCTTGTCCTATTGGATGGCGAGATCCGGTGCCGACCTACGAGGACTTAAGGGGATTTTCCTCTACCAGGTATCTCCCACGAACGAGGGATCCCACCAGACGGGCTGAGCTCCCAACTGATCTCCCGACAAGTGAAATTGTGCAGTGTGTGTGTGTGTGTATGAGGGATGAGGATAAGACAAGGAAGTGGAAGGAAATATCGCGCGTACACTGTAGCCCGTTTGTTAGGTTACCGCGAATGATGGTGATAATGACTGAGAATGAGGAACAATGAAATGACAGGCAGGGAAAACCGGAGAACTCCAAAGAAAATTTTCTGCTAATCCACTTTCTTCCCGGCAAATTTTACAGAGATCCACTCGGATTTGAACCCATGTGCCTAGAGCTGGAAAATTAGTTGCGCTGTCGGCGCTGCTACGGGTAGCGCCTCCTCACGAGGGATGACTAGCCACAAATAGGCAGAACAGCAAGCGCTTGCGGGCAGTGGCGTAACCTTCGGGCCCGCAAGGCTTGCAGCGCGGGCGGGGCCGGGTAAAAGAGGGCCTATTTTTAGGCTGAAGGTTTTGCAATTGTAAGAAAAACTAGTATTAATTACTTAATACTCTGATAATGTGATAGTTGCGATAGTTAATAAAATAAAACACTGAAAACAGCAGAAGAACGATTTTTTCGCTTGCGTACCTTATGTTTCTGATTCAATTGAAGTAAACAATTCATTTAACTTTTTTCACTGTCTTAACTTCATAAAATTATATAGTAAAGGAAAATTTTTTCACTATTTGTTAGAAGCACCTTACCATTGTTAATACAACACACAAACTCTCTTTCGATTCTTATTTAGGTTAGAAGTAGGTAATTGAAATCGTCTTCATTTGTACTGCCTTGTTTAATGCTTCAGTTAATGACACTTAAATGAGATTATGCGTCTCTGAAGTATTGTGTGCTTTAAAGAAAATTAATATTGTGGATAAGGGATGGGGCCCCATAAAAATATCCGCAATATTAATTTTATAAATGTGCCTCTGATAAACGTTTTGCGAGCGGGTCCGCAAGTATTTCGTTACACTGGCTGTGGCTTGATTAATTGATTGATTGCCGTGCTCTGATTCACTAAACAACTACATGGGTCATTAGTCCCGTACGTGTAATGCATGATTTTTGCTTGGGATGTGATCTTTCCCCCGCTGTATGGAAAGATCAGGCGCCGACCTACCGACGGCTAGCGGGGTTTTCCCCAGCCACGTATCTCTCACCATCGAGCCACCGCCCCGGCATGTGTGGTAGTGTAGTGCATGTATGGGGGTGAGAATAGGCCAAGGAAGAGGAAGTAAAGATCGCGCGCAGCCCGTGCCCCGTTTGTTAAACATCTCCGGCATTCGCCTGGTGTTGAATCGGAGAAACCACGAAAAATATCGATCAGATCAGCCGGTCCCTTCAATTCTCCTCCAGACAGCGCCTGCATTCGATCTAGCTAACAAGGGAGCGTCAAAACTCCTGCCACCGCCGGGGACGCGAACCTCGGAGCTGCTTGCGGCGAGCGCGCGTTCCGTCGTGGAGCGCGCGGCAGCCCCGTGGCCACCGGAGCGCGGTGCCGACGGAGGAATGCGCAGGGTTCACGGCGTCGCGGGCAGCGTGTGTGGGCCGCCGCGCCGCGCCGCGCCATGTGAAGTCGAGCCGGTGCGCGGGCGAAAGCCGCCGCCGCAGCCGCTCCAGGCCGGACGCGCTGTTCTTCTGGCGGGGCTGCGCGCGTGGGCCGTAGCTTAGGTGCTGCTTCGCGCAGTTGTTGAGTTAATTCATCAACAGTTACGCTGATTAGAGCATTAAAAATTTTTGCAGTTAGAGAAACTCTGTTCCTTAGGTATTCGGTCTACTATTTTCTCCGAGAGGAGACTACAGATGCGGTATTGAATAGGTGTTCTTGACTTTTATTTTCCTGTAAATAATATAAATGGAGATACTGCTTAGATATAGAATATAGGTAGTAAATGATCAATAGGAATAACCTCAAATACATAGTACAAATTACAGTTATGATGGATGGATATTGGAAAGGTAAATAATAATTATTTGATTTCTCTTTTCTTGGTATTCATTTGCTTAAAATTAAACAAAAAATATTAATGTTAAATTATTTTGAATTTCACAGAAAATGTTTACATAAAATATATCGAAAATAAAGTCTTTGTGAATAAATCTTATGAATGTTGGAACTAATTTGAAAGTAATGTCTTTAAAATTAATTGAGCGTCTGTATTGTAAATATAGTTAAGATCAATTAAAGATATCGAGACATTTATGTATCTGGCGGTTCGGAACGTCTGTCCAGAATTCGTGTGGTTGGCTCATGAAACACGACTGAGTCCACGTCTCCAAGATCTTCACCGTTGGGTCCTGCAAAAGGAAGATTATCGTACAAATGGAGTGATGGAAATCTATACGATAAAATAATTCTACATGGGTTGTGATTATTTACTTTGTGATTGCTAATTACTTTGAAATTTAACTTGTCAGATTAATATAAACTGAAAGAAAATGCATTTATTGAACAGTAATTTTAATGTATCCAAAAACATTTTTATAGTAAGTGCACTTCGCGAAACACAAAATAAGACTTGCCCATCTCGTTTTATCGAATTGGCATCATACGTTATATTATATAATTTAGTAATAAAAGGTACCTAAAATATTCTATATTATTGTTAGTATTTCTAGGCAGTCAATTCCTCGTGGAAAGTCGAAACAATGTTCTGTAAGGATAAATGCTTCAATTTTACTGAATACGTGGAAGAGAGGGTTTGTGTATGAAAAATTATGTATCATGTTGGTCTTACCTGTTCCGTTGGAAAATGCATTAAAACTTACGTCTCTTCCTGCAGCCATCCGAGCTGCCACTCTAAAAAGAAATAGCAAAATAAATAAGAAAAATAAATAACGAAATGTATGAAAATTGCATCCACTTATTTTGAATCCAAACGAAGAACCGTCGGTTAGCGGTTTTTCCCCCAAACCACGTAATTCTCACCTGCGTGGCACCGCCCCGGAAGAAACAAGCTGTAAGCCCCCGACCGGTCTCCCGGCATGTGGTAGTGTAGTGCATGTTAATGTGTGTGGAAGGGTTGAGGAAAGAACAAGGAAGAGGAAGGAAAGATCGCGCGCGGTCCGTGGCCCGTTTGTTAGGGTACTGCTCCGGCATTCCCCTGGTGTTGAAAAACCACGGAAAACCACCGATCAGAGCAGCCGGCCGCTAGAATTCTCCTCCAGACAGCGACTGAATTCGTCCCAGTTGACAAGCTAGTGCCGAACATCCTTCCACCGACAGCGACCGACCTGCCCCGATGTCTGCCGAAGCGCGACCATCGGTAGTGGACCGCCCACAGGGCCAGCCGCCCTCGCGGAGATGACCAACTCATCTTGCCGGTCCGGATCCGGAACGCTTTCGACAACTAGCGATGGGTTGCACGCAATAACTCGGTCTTTTATACAACCATTCAGCATCGCTTACACAAATTAATGGGCGAAAAATACCACATTCTTTCCTGCCCGACCTCACGCTGCTTTTTATAAGCGCGCTAATGGCAAAAGCTGTTCGCGCGGAAGTTTTGTTTTTTCTACGGAGCCGCGAAATGCTTCCCAGGTGTTCAATCGCCAATGAGTTACTCCATAACGAAAGGAAAATCTTTACAATTTCTAACTGTTCTTCACACTAGATTCACTAATCTACTCCCCGAATAACACAGTACATCCTACAGTAAATTATACTCAGAATTCTCCAGTTGAGCAGCTTTGAATTGTCCTAACCACGATGAACGTATAAAATATATTTGAATGAGGCCCTGAGAAGATGGAGGTAAAATGTAGTTATAAGGGAATTAAAATGGTGACTTTGTTATTCTCTCTACACGTTGCTGATGACTAGGTGGTGTTCCCTGAGGATGAAGACAATGCTCTATACATGCTGAGGAAATTATATTAAGTGTACTCGTAATGAGGTTTAGAAATAAAACGTAACAAGACTGAATAGGAGGAAGTGCTAAAAAATCTGAAATTGGATGACGGTTCGGAATCAAAACCTGTCAAAAATTCACATACCTTGGTACAGAAATAAATGGAGGCAGTACACAAGGTATTAGAAACATAATTGCAAAAGGTTGAGTGGTTATAAGCAAATTACATATACTAATTAGGATAGATAGATTTTGTAAGAGTGTAAAACGAAAATTGTAGGTATTTGTAGAGAATATTGCTCTTTACGGATTTGAGGAATGGGGAGTAAAAAAAGAGCGAAAAAATGGCAGCAATGGAAATGGACCTCTGTCGCCGAAGTTGCGAACTCACTTTAAAGGATAAAGTTTAGAACGAAGAAAATAAACGTAAATCGTAAGAAAGTTTTAATATAATTGACACCATAGGAGTTAGGACTAAAATGGTATGGGCACATGCAAAGAATGAACGAAAAACGTTGGTCGAAAATATTGTGGATACCGCAACCAGCTACCTATCAAAGAAGAGGAAGACCTAGACTTACATGGGGGGAAGGAGTGGATGAAGCATTGGTGAAAAGAGGATTGAGTAGTGAAGACTCAGACTAATAGAGAGAGATGGAGGTTCCGATGCGAGAGACACCCGAGGGTGTAATTTAACTCGCCGTTCTACTACTACGATGAAAATTAAGTGCTGGCAACAGTTCACGTAAGTTTTCGGCCCCAATATTCACTTTTATTGGACTTTCCAAACGCTATCTCACTCGCCCAAATGCAGACCATGTTACTCGCTTATTACGGGGCACAAATTTAAAAGTAGTCTTCACGCCGATGGATTAAAAATACATTCGTCGTCTACCGTCATTCGTGTCCATACACGAGGATATCCCAATTGACGTACCGCTCCCGGTCGTGATTCACCGTGGAAGACGCTAGCCTGGCGTCTGCCCGCCGGGTGGGGTGGGGGGCGCAACTCTCTTTCGGGCGTTCATTATTGCTAGTCCTTTCTCAGCCATCTCGAGCTCGCATTGCCCAAAAACCAAACCCAGCCAAACCATATCGAAAATTAAAGACTAATTAAATGTTCTATTCCCGAATTTTAGACTCTTTTTGGATTTCCCAAAATCATGGGCGCTCCTAGCTTTAGTCTAAAGCTAGCAGCGTCTACCAAGACAATACCTTCCATTATTGCAAGGCAACGAAAATGCATTCATTATTAGAAACTAATTTTAGGCTCTCAGAATAAAATGTTCAAACAATTTTTTTACAAAAATCAGGGTCTTACAAAGAGGAACAGTTAACAGAAGTTTTTCTGGGATAATAAAAAGGAAAGCTCAAAAATTACAGAAAAAATATGAAACCTTAACCGAAATTAAAGAATAATTTTAGACTCTAGAGAGAATGAATTGACACTTAAATTCGACATTGTAAGTACACACATCGAGAAATCACAAATTATAACATTTTGCACTCGATTGTTTGAAATACGAAAGACAATAAGGGGAGTGTCACATTAAAACTCAAAAGAATATTAAAATAGTCAAACAAATCACATCACCAAGAAATGAACGTGAAATACCTTGAATTGTATAGAAGAAACCTGAAACCACAAATAGTTCTAAGCATGATTTTTAAGGAAGCTGGAATGTATTTATCATAGCGAACCCTGAGAAGAACGTTTGTAGAAATTGGCCTCAAACGACTACGATCCGTGAGAAAATTCAAATTTACACCTGATATAAGTTAAAATGAACAAAAGTTAATTTTTTTCCAAAAGTACCAGCATCGGACCAAAGAGGAAAGGAGAGACGATTGTAATGCATTTAAAAACACCATCACCATAAACGAGAACAAAAAGTGTAAAACAATTACTTTGTAGGTTTGTTTCTCAGACGAGTCGTCAATCCAGATCTTGCAAGAAATGACGTTGTCCATTCGACGAACGTATAATGACAATAATTAGGGAGGAGGAAAGGAACGAGTAAAACATCGCTTTTACAGTGTTTTGGTCAGTTATTTGTCGTAATAGTTGCGCCTTAGGACAGTATAGTTCTGAGTTGAGAATGTCATCATTCCTTCTTGGGGAAAATATTGTTTTCTAGGCTATGATTACGCTTGTGTACAAACGTTTTATGTATTCTTGATCGTCATCAGATGGTGGCTGGGAAATAATATTTCCTTCTTTATTATTGCTACACAAATGAAACCGGTAACTAGTACAGCATTTTTGGTCTATTCAATGAACTAATATAACTTTTTCATTATTAATAGACATTGAGCAAATTGCAGCATAATTCAGTGAAAAAATACCAACAAGAAAATTGAACTTCATTTCTGAAAAAAAATGTGAAGTGTTAGAAGGTTAAAATTTCAGAAACGATGTTATACTTTTATCCATTTTTAATGTCATTCTCCTTAATTATAGCTGTTGCAATCTACTCACTGATTATTTTAAATGAAAAATTGTGGTTAGCTCTATCAATAGAGGAATAACCTCGTACTAGTTAGCTCCTATTCTTTTGTTTAGCAAAAACTGGGAAGGAAATTGTATCCTTTCCCAAAGTTAGAAAAATGTAATAATCGTACTGCACAACGAAAGGGTCAAACAAACCCGTTTACTTAAAAAAATATTCCACCTATAAAAACTACAACAGTATTTCCTTTGAGGGATATGTAATTTGGCAAAAAAATCATTAAAATCCAAAATAATTTAAAGAGCTCATTTCCAAAACTGACTTGGAATTAATTGTTTTTGAATCCCAAGAACAGATTCTTATTTCAAATGTTCAAAAAAATGCACTTTAATGCAATAAGACATAAAAAAGTGTCGGCTCATTTTTTAAATATACTTTATTGCTTTTCATTTAAAACCCAAACCAAAAAAATCGAATAAAGGGATACCGACATAATGATGGCTACATAGTGTAACATCAACCATCTATAATGGGTCTTACGATAAACTTAAGGCCACAACATTTGACTGCACACTGCACTTTTACATAAACTAAGATGTACTAATTAAGAATCAAAAGAAATAGATACGAAATATTTTACATACTCTTGGGCCCCTTTGGCCTGTCTAATTTGTAATTAGTTCTCTCCTTTTATTGCAAAAAGATGTTGTTATTCATCCATTGACATGAAATCTATTACGGATGTTTCAAATTTAAAAACAAAAAAACACACACTAAATTAAAGCATCGTCGTTTATTACCATGGTTAAAAATAGAAGCCCAAAACACATTTCTCTCAGTTAAACCAATAATAGTTAGTTAAGTCATTTCATAAAATCTTATTGTCTGTTTGAAATATTAATTTATTAAATAAAATAATTAATAATATTTTTAAGTGTAATACTATTATAATATCTATAAACTAAAACCCAAGGTAAAAATTAATAAAAAACTAGAATTAAATCATTGAAAGAATGATCAATGACAAAAGTTATATACATAAATAACTCCTACATGAAGCGTTAAAAACTAAAATGTTTATGCCAATGGCCTAAAAACATTTCTCACACCGCAATCTACCGGATGAGACTTTTTTATCATTCTGTTACATATTTGCTGGGGATGAGTGGGTCGGGGGAGACGAAGAGATAAGGGAGATGGAAGGCAGAAAAAAGGTCTGCCATGTTTCACTAGTGTGTATAATAATGAAGAGATATGAAGAGGCATTTTTTTAAATTTTAATTCTTGTGAACGGTTTAGTTCGTGAAGAAATGTTTATTTCAAACAAAACTTTCATTTCTTTTCAAAAAGTAGAGTTATAATGATATTATGATGGTAAACAGATGTAATGAATCTAGTAGTTCTAAATGATTGCTCTAATCACACATTACTGCATCGTCGTATATAACTTGAAGATTAATATAATGATACCTTTATCTCAGGTCACTTACATTGAAAAATATTCGAAACTTACCTCTTTTTTAACAAGAAGCATACCGGCACCGCAGCGAAAAGCAATAGCATTCCAAGGATGATAAGAACCCAGAGACCAACTGTTATACCGCCCCAGTACGCTGAGGAGAACATAAAATTACTCACTTGAGAATGAAGAATCTGCATTGCCATTCATTTAAGTGATTAGAAAGTTTGGAACTAGTTGTTTACGTAACAAGGGCGCAAAACAGATGAGTCAATCACGAGACAAAGAGACGAGTGTGTGAATCACCTAACAACCGTGTTACGTATACCACTTTTTAACACGACGTGAGTGAAACGCAATGCGTCAAGTAAAGGAATATAAATTAAATATCAAATAACTGGAAATTCCTTACTTGTACAAAAGTAACTTAATTCCAGTCAGTGTCGTAACAGTATTATTTGGAAATTATAAAAAAAGACGTCGCCAAAACAAAAGACAATTGCGAATCGTTACAGATGTTCCGTACACGCTTTCGCACTCAGTGAATAAATTAGCTGTTGTATTATCTAAATCTAGCCAAATTGTAACAAAAAACAAGCACGAGAAAACGCATTTCGCGCACGGCCTGTTAAAAAGTATCATAGGAGACAATATTATATTGCAACATGAACATTTCAAAAAATATTTCCTCAAAAATACGAGAATAACCACTTACTAATTGGAGTGGCAGTTTCATAGGGCTCTGCCTCCGAACATTTTCCCTCCCAGTCCACAGCTGCCACCTGCATGGAAAACAATATGGTAATCTTTTCGTGAATGAAAAAAGTATCTTTTGTTTCAGAAACACACCTCTTTACAACACTTTTAGCTGACAACAAATTACAAAAATCCATGAATTTATTTTCATTCAGATTGATTTTCATCTGAAGTTCTGATTATGTAGAGAGGTTTTAAGACAAAAATATCAAATTTGTACGTTTGCTATGTTAACTATTTGCCTCAATTTCATGCACAATTACGCAAAAACTAATCAAATTTTTGGAAAAGGACGTTATGTTAAGATGTCTTTGGAGAACAGATTTTATTCTATAAAAAATATGTCTTTGAAAGTGTAGTTGTAGGAAGACGCCGAAAAATTAGGAACGTTTGTAATTTTGTTTTCTATGCTGTCCTAGGGTAAGATTTAATAAAAGGATTAGAGTCACATTTGAGTAATTTTGAAAATATAATTGAAGCTTCATGTAAAGTACCCCCGAAAAATCAAAATATCCGGTTCAATTTAGCCCAGAAGGACGGATAGCCGGACGAACAGACATTTGCCGTCAATGAAGGACCCTCCAAACATGAATTTTGACTATACAACGTTTTAGAGGAAGTAATTTACCACATATTGGAATACGATTTATCTACTTTTTCGTTACGAGGACCCCGCAATAACGGGTTTTTCTTTCGAAAAATCAGTTTTCCGGCCACAGAGTATAGTACTTTTTCTTCTTACGAAGTCAGGTGAGAAAATAAAAACTACATCATATAAATGTATAATGTTTATGGAGTGGATTATTAGCTTACCTCAATGAAATAACGGGTGGCCGGAAATATATTTTCGGTTGCAGTAAAAGAATAGATGCTAGTTTCCGACTCATCACAGTTGTCGGTGTTGGCACAAGTCACCAGTGTGGCGTTGTAAGGACATTTGTTATCATCGTAAGAGTCGGACGGATACTCAATTATTTCGTCAGTAAAGTCATACGGTTTCCAGCGAATATAAAAATCAACTCGGCATGACACGTTTACTGACCACCTGAACTTCAATGAATTTATTTGTCTTTTTGATGCCCAAATATAGCGAACTTGTGGAGCCGAATCTGGAAATAAAAATACCTCGTAATATTTATTATATAATTATAAATGTTTTCATCCTTCTGATGTATTCTTGATATCGACATGTGAAAACTAAGGGAATATAATAAGCTTTTAGAGAAGCTAAAATATAGTTTATGATACAATCATACAAAATATTAAAAAAATGTAATATGATGAAAAATTTGCTTGAAAGCCTTATTATATTTTGTCTTAATTGTGGATATGCAGAGTAAATATATGGTTATATACTTGTTTTCTCGCTTCAGTTACACTCATTGTAAAAAGACAATGAGAGTTACTATTCAGCTTTGCCTATTTCTTCACTTATTGTTTTCTACAGTAACTGGCTAGAACTCTCGGTATCTTGTAGAACAATTCCAGAGTCGGCGAGTGAGTTTTTGTATTTATTATTAATCAAAATTATTTAAATTTTATTGCATGTTATTTATTTTTCTATTATATGTTTAGAATCTAACTTATATTTTTTTAAAATTTTTGACACGAGTTATACTTGTCTGTTTGACATGTGTATCCAGAAGCCAATAACCAAGGTATTCAAATTGCCTATATAAAATAGTGAGTTTCAGTATTTGATTAGCTTTGTAGTTAAGTATCACTTACTTGGGCAAGTCAGCATTTTTGCACTAGGACTGAATTCAGATATATTATTTGAAGTAGGCCAATGGAGACTGAACCGAACATCGTAGGTTGTGTCGGGTTCCAAATCTTTGATGGTAATTTCTCGGTTAGCGTATTCTTTCCCTGCGACTTTCCAAATATCATTGGTCGATTCCGTCTGTAATTCAGCACAAGCTAGTGTTAGCTGCGATATACAAGATGACAAAATGTTATACCTATCTTAAATATAGTAAGTATCTCCCTCATAAATAAGTGTTTTCTCACTTTATTTTACATTGAATGGAATATCATCATCCTCAATAATAAGTAGTATATTTAAGTATTTATTTCATGTTATGCGTTTTGTCAAGGGAGATAATAGAAATATATCAGTACTCAATATTTCAAAAATATAATATTTCAGATCTTACGCACCACTATTGCGAACAAGAATTACACATGGAAGAAAGGAGTGATGGCAAGTATACGAGGCTATGTCTTACCTTGTATTCCCAATGGGCAATATAACCTTTTGCGCTGCTGTTTTGACAGCCTGTTATCAACGTTAAAGATGTGTTACTGGCCTTAATCACTTGCGGAGGGTGCTCAGGATTTATTGGGTCTCGAACTGAAAAGGATGAAGAAAATAAATCAATACAAACACTTCCTGCTTCTCCAATCTTTTCAGTGGTCGCGCTTTCGTGGATTACTATTGTATTCCAGTTTTTTCATTCGCTGTTTACAGCAAGTGTTGACAAACGTTTGGCATGGACTTGTCAGTATCTTTCTTTGAAGGTTCCAGCTATTCAGTTAAATCGAAAAATGACGCAAGTGATAGTTGCCGCTCGAGCGATAAGCGCCGGATAGCGCTTGGATTCCAATAGTAATCCATGCGATCACTGGCAGTTCAGTTTCTGACCTAAGCTAACATAATGGATATCGCTGCAATCAGTGCCCTAAAAGTTGATGGATTGAACGACAATGGAGAAAGGTCGACTGGAAGAAGGTTTCTAAAGGATCTCCCTTACGAAACCAGAAATGAGACGGTGGATCCAGAGAAAAACTGACCCGACCCCAATACGAACACGCGGAAGATTTCTACTGGGAATCCGGGAAGGACCGAGGGGTGAGCGGAGTCACCAAGGGCAACGGGGGGCGTTATTATCTCTATGGACGTCAACGAAACAAGAGAACTCGACAGTCCTGTATCAATTCCAGTCGGTGTCCAATAGGTGTACCCAGAACACATTAAGAAAATCTGTGTGATGTTGGTAATGAAACACATTTAGAATAGACACTCCAGATGTTTAAACAACTTAATCAATCTGTTTTATTTAATAATGTAGTGCAAAGTAAATCAAGGGTCCAAACCATATTGAGCGCAAGACGTACTTTAACATTATCAAATGTTTTATGTATACTACGATTGTTTAATATATTAAATCTACTTAAAATACACTTCTGTTATAATTTATAACCACGGTATGCAGTGGCGTAACAATGAACGTGGAGCACGAACCAACCCTTATTAAAATTAACAAAACACAAGAAAAGCTTGAATTATTTTTTTGCATATCTTCAGTGTGGGTCAGAACTAATGGCTTGTGCAATAGACAGCCACTTATAATAAATAATAGTTTCTGTAGTTTATGTCTCTAATATGATGACACATGCCAATAGCGTTTTGTATAAAAATGTTCGTAATGTAAATATTTAATATTTTGATTATTTGTAAGCAGGCATCCAACCGATGCTTTCGCCTGTTTCATTTTGTGGTCTCGCAGGACAAGTGCATTGGGAAGTCTTTGCAGTACACATCTAGATGCTCAATCAATCAATGCAACCACATTGTTCTTGATCAACCATGAGAAAATTGCATCGCCTTATTTGAATACTAAAACAAAATAGTGCTATAATATGTTTTGGTGCAATATTTTACACATTGAAAAATTAATTAATTCGAAATTATTGTTAATCAAGCGTCTGTTATAGAGGGATTGCAGGTGTGACTCCATTAGAAATTCAAGAATTTCATACCTGGGAGAGTGGTCGCCCAAATAAAAGGCACATTATCACTTTCGTGTGTTTCATCTTCGTTGCCTCGCTCAAGAAATGCACGTACTTCGTACACGGAGCTCGTCCTTAGGCCCGTGATTTCCATTTCTTGAGTCATGTCTTTCCATCCAGCCAAATGCCAGATTGTCTCCTCCGGCTCCTATTAAGCGAAGTGAAGGATCAGGTTAACGAATGTAAAAAACATTAAAATTTCATGTACGCAGTGTGTAAGTTCTGAATTTAATAAAATTTCTAATGGCGTACAACTCGCAATGTCTAAATGTTATTATTTGCGTAAGTAAACGGAATTGTCTATGAGAAGCAGCGCATATGTTAGGTATTATATATAGTGAGTTCACTGTAAGACTTCATTTGTAGAAAACAAAATTGAAGGGCTCGGGCGTTTAAGATGACAACACTAAAACTTTTCGAAGTTTTGTGAAACTGTATTTTTTGCTCTGGCTATATGTTGTCCATGCTGTCTGATGCTAAAATGGTTCAGATTATGTCTCGTAGTTATAAGATTCATTTAACAAAATTGATCACCTTAAACCAAAATTTCCACTTACTTATGTCTTTGACCGTAGTGAGAAAGCTGAGAATTCGTGAAAAATATTTTTTTCACGAGAGCAATATGTCTTATCATTCTATAAATATAAGCATATAAATATAACAAATAATTATTTGTTCTAATCTTTTAGCACGTCAGACAACTTATTTGAAGTTAGTCAATCTGAAATCTCGATTGTTTTGGAATGAATAACTCTAATTATTTTATGAGGTTGCATTAGTTTGTGAAATTTACATTACGTTCTCGTGCACTCATTACTCAGTAATAAGGAGTTTTAACTTACTTGGTTATAAACAAATGTAGAAAATTATTATAAATATCTACAAGTGTACTACAAGTACTACTGTGTATCTACAAGTTCATAACTGACTTTAACCATATTTCACTTTAAATAATTTACTGACATACTTAATACTATAATATATCATATACAAAATTATGTTCTTCTTGTAATTCAGTTGTCTGATGTATTTCGATATCTGCCACGCCCAATGCTGAACACAATTGAGAATTGAATATACTGTGGTGAAAGCTGTACCTTTTTACAGTCCTTCATTGCCATCGCAGAGCATGATCTTTTCCTGAGATGCAACATTGGAGGGTATTTGTTAGATTCTATCCATCGAGCTCGACAGCGAGCTTTTTGTCCCTGTCTCTTTCTAAGTGGCAGATACTTGTCCAAAGAAAATTACGCCGGCCTCTGTATATTTTAATAAATTAATTTTTGTCTAGTGTCTTTGCATGACTAGTATACATATTTAGATTCTTTACCTAGGAAGAAAAGATTAATATCCATCTGCTTTTTACTCTCGTTTTGTTTTGGTGTTGAATTTACTGTCAGTTTTAATTTACAGTTTATCGGAATGGAATAATTAAATTGAATAGTAAGAACAATTAATCCATGATTGAGGCGTTTGCTCTCAAAATCATTTTGTTATATTTGCGAAAATTATTCCAGAGAAACAAAAATATTATCGTTTCCACACATAATTTAATATTTACGGGAATCTCGCCACATTTATTTGATGTGTCGGGGCACGTCACCTGCTATTACCCTCCTTGGTTTAGTGAATGTTTATACTGGAAAGTGGCGATGTTTCTCTGGACTGTGAGATCCAGCGCCAATCTACACGTCGGCATGCGGGGCGTTTCCACTCCAGCTATCTCCCCAATGTACGAGTAAGGGGAGACTGCGTGAAATGAAAGAAAGAAAGGTCGCGCGCAGCACCTGGTTCATTTGTTAGGGTTCTTTTCCGACATTTGTCTTGTATTGATCACAAAAGCTCCAGAAAACTAATCACAGCAGCCGGTCAGAGTACATCTCCTCCAGACCAGCGTCTGTATTCGATCTAGCTAATGTCGAAACAGAAGTGACAGCAGAAGCAATTGTAATGCTGGCGCTGAGCCTACACACCAGGTCACATTTAGGCGGAAATTAACTGGATTTCAACTGTATCCTTTCATGAGGTTGAAAAAAAACACTCCAAAATTAGCAAAAAGTAAGGAAGATAAAATAATAATACAAGGGAATAAGTTGATTTTAATCGCAAATGTCTGATATATTATGCATTCTATTGCATTATTTATCAAGATACTATACCTTGTATTGCCAAGTTGCTAGGCACAGACCTGTGCATGACACCTCGGAATGCAATTTCAATTTCAGAGTAGATGAGCTTGCGTGTGTTACGTATGGTGTTTTTTTCAGCGTAGGTGTTTTTGGATCTGTTGAAAGAAACACAAAACTTCGTTACAATTTCATAATATACTACCTGCAGTACGACTCTTGTGTACGGCATAATGTAATTTTAAGAAAAAAATGTTACTGATATCCATTAATTGATATTCGATATTCACATAATCATTATTAACTCCAAAAATTATCGTTTTAACAAATGAAGGAACCTTTCGTTGTGATATAAAATGAAGCAAACTTACCAAATAAAAAGAAGATATTGTTACAAGTCTCTTTCAGACAATTAAAAAATAATGTGTTTGCTCAGTCATGAAGTGCCTGATATTGCGCGGAAACCCAAAACACTTGACCATTCTTTTGTTTCTTCACGTAATATTCACGTAAAGATGTCTTTTTTCAGCGCAGTAACGGATGATTGTAAATCTCTCTGCTGATGTTATGTTCAGCGCTGAAGTTATTGAATTCTTAACAGCTATTCACCTACAATCCTCCTTTGGAGAGTTTTCACATGAAGATAGTTTGTAATATTAAAAAATATCACAATGTGCATATTATCATGAACGTTTCTTCGTTTACTGATATACATTATACATATTGTCTCAGCAAGTAATGTTAAGGAGTGCACACACATAAATGTTTCAGTTCCAGAACGTTTTTATTTTGTGATAGCGAACCGGGAAATTTTATGGAAGCGCAATGTTTTTTGTTTCTCCCCAAAAAGCAGTGACGGAACGGCGTTCCGGCTTAAGTGCCTGGTAATCAAATTTGTTTCATATTATAATATGAATAAAGATAAACTATAGACCTGCGAAATAGATTATAATGAAGAGATTGAAGTGTTGATGTATTCATTCAAAATGAGAACATGATACAGACAACCCTAACATTGTTATCTTTTCTGACTCGATTACTACATTGAAGGCCATCGGAAAGAGATATTCAAATCACATCTACATTCAGGAAATTAAATTTATATTTAATCAGCAAACCAGAAATTGAAGTCAAATTACCCTGATATGGATTATTTTTCCCAGTGGAATTCAAATCAATTAACAAGCAGATTTGGTCACAAAAATGCAACAACATTCTCAATCGTTGAAGAGAGTGCTAATGGCCCGTTACAACACATTAGAAAGTTCTTTAGCACAAGGATTACTACAAACTTGGATTTACTATAAAACCATAAACCTCGACCTCGCAAAGAAAATGGTAAACGAATCATCCCCCAACCCACATTACCCAACATTTTAAGTATTTGGGAGTAAGCAAGTCATTCTCCCCAGACTTCGGATCGGCCGATCCAGGTCATAAGTGTGAAGCAAAAGAAATGGCCTATATCCTTGGTCTTAGAGCATAGAAAGAAAAATGTCAATTCTTGGAATCAACACAAAAATTTGTGTCAAAACTATAAGATTATTGTAATTCACTAGGTTTGCCTAATTAATGCCATTTACTCAAGTTATGTCAAGTTCAATATCAATTAAAAATAACAATTTCTACGTTAATGTAAACAACTTTAGAGTTGTTAAATGTTTCTAATTTTTTATATAAATGATTTGATATTTCTGTTCTGATCATGCATAACCATATTTTACTAGTATTAAAAATTGAAAATAATGCAAGTTAACACTAGAACAAACAGCTATTTGATTTACCGAGAACGCCCATTAGCAGTCATTCTGATGGCTGATATATGTAAAGGACAATTAATAAAAATTGGTGAATTTCATCACAGCGTAAATTATGTTAACTTCAATTAAGATTTTCTTGCCACTTTTTTGCTGATTTCAATAATTAATAGCTTTGTAAAATAATGAGGCGCCGGTGATCCATATTTATTCATATATAATTAAACTTTCCGCTGCAAAAGGTTGGCAAGCATTTTCATGAATAACAATGACAATTCGTCTGTACATTCAAACATTTTTTTACCGGGGACTTTTCTTATTACCGGAGATTATTTATTATTTAAAAGCCAACATTATTTGTTATTTAAAAGCCAACATTATTTATTATTTAAAAAGCCAACTTATTTATTATTTTAAAAAGCCAACAGAGTTGTGAAATAATAAATTGTGGGTCTATAATGGATATTGAATAATATTTATTTCTCAATTATCAATATTGAGAGACGATTTCATTGGACATCAGAAATCCAAATCATCTTATAAAGAATATTTGAAATAATATTTTTTAATATAACATATATTAAAAAATTTTATATAAAATTTCTCAAAACATTCCCTGGTGAACAATATATAGTATGGCTAAATTTCCATGTATGTAGATTAGCATCGGGACATGTTGTTAGAGCAAGGTGATGTCTGTAAACGGTCTGTTTAGATCACAAAACAATTGCCTTCCAAAGTATCATCCGAGAAGCTTCGGAGTCAACTGAGAATTGCCTAGCCGTGTAAGTCACCCAGAGTTCTGAATCGTTGTATATCTAACGTAACGTTTCTCCGTGGTGAATTAAAACACTCACAGGTATTATTTAAACAAAGACGTTCAATTTGTTTCTTAATGCTACACTAAAATATTTGATTTATTTACAGATATATTACACGGTCCTTGTGTTCGTCACTTATTTTCCTTACACACGACTCCGTTCTCATGATTATTTATTTACACAGTTCACTTCTGATTTTTTCTTTACACTGTTCACTTCTTCTACACTATCGCGCAGTCCGATGCACTGTCCACAGTCCACTGCGCTGACCACAATTCACTGCGTAGACCAGGGTCCACTGCACTGCTCTCTACCGCGATGCATACTTCGCAGCTCAGCTTCCAATGCAGACTTCAAACTGCTGACTGCTATTTCCCTACTGCACCACTGTTCAGCGCAATGCACACTTCACAGCTCAGCTTCCGCTTCAGACAGACTACTGCATATTCACATTGACGGACTCACTGCTTACAACTTCTACTTCTTACTGACTCGCGGCCGCCGGCAGTGGCGAATTTATACCTGTCCGGCGTCCGTCTCGACACTACCGGCACTTGCTCCACATTTCTACGCGACTCGCGAATAGCCCTGAACCGTCCAGTTCGGGGGGAGGGGGCGTCGGCAGATGACGCAATCCGTGCAGCAAATCCGGGCAGATGATGCAATATTCGTTACAATAAGATAATGCCTTGTTTCACTGATGTGACGATGAATATCAACCCTTAAAAAATCTCTGTTGGATGCATCTTTTATTGTTTGTTCTGTTGGATATGTCTTACATTAAAAAATTCATACTTCAATTTTCGCAAGACGAAGAGCTTACGCAAACAATATTTCGTAAGGCTTTTGGGCGTTTAAGATACAGTACACAATAAAACAACGATGGAAATTTTCGAAAACTTACCTAATATTTAATTCATAAATACCTTAAATGTCACGAGATCCCAAAGTCCTTCTGCTTATTGGTTGTACGAAAACAATACCTGAATACGATGTAGCCATAAAAATGCTGGCGTGAGACGTTCTAGAGTTAATGCAATTTGCAGTGCTCGTTATACCCACAACAATTATTAAGCGAGCTTCAATAAAAAAACAATTTACGAAAAAAACATTGTACTAAAGTGAATTGCGATGATTCAAGAATGTTATATGTTAATCACGTAGGCCGATGACTGACAACTTCAACATACGTTAAAAATGTAAAAGTAAAGACCCACAAAAAACAATAGAACTACGACTACAACCAATTCGTGTTAGCTATTATACGTAATGACTAGGCAAAATTTAATTTTTTGAAGACTATCAAATTAATTCAAAAAAATAATAATTAATTTAAAAAAATCAGTAGATATTATACATCATGCCTGGATATTATTCGAATTTGCTATTTACTCTGACTAATATGTATGTGCACACAGTGGTGCATCCAAGGAGATGGCTCATGGAGCTTCATTCCCCTTCACCCAAAACTAAATAATACATATTAAAAATATAGCTTTTGCTAATGTTCTATACTAATGAGAGTTTCCCAATATATCAATTGTTAACATATTAGTTAGTCAACAAATAAAAATAAATTTTATATTAAGCATAGTTAAAAAAATGTGTTTTAGACATCAAGTTGGCTATTTTGTTTTGGAAATATAAATGTTACGTAGCAGTAAAGTTCATATTAGTGCTGCGTGTTTTATTAAGAGAGACAATTTTATAACCTACGTATTTTGACACACTGTTATCCAATGATGCGTAACATTGCTCTGTGCAAGGTCTGCCACCTTCGCGAATAGTATTGTACTGAACGCGCCCCCCACGGTCCTGCACTTCCATTACCATACTTCTACATTTAAATAAGAAAATAAATTAAATTAAATGATTGTTTCTTTATTGTTCCAGCATCTTTATTCACATACCTTTCTTCGAGGTAGTGAAGGCCTAGAACCATTAGCGATGGTGCCTTGTACCTCTAGTCTCCACGTGGTTTCGAACACTTGTTAAAAACCCGCTACTACTGACGATATAACTGTAGCTGGTTCATAACCAAGTGAAAGGTAGCGTACCTTCACTGGACCTATTCTACACATTTATATTATACACAATTTTTGTGGAAATATATAAATTTGAAGGGGGAAATATAAGAGTTGAAAACACGATTGATTGACAAGTGATTCCGGGCGCGTCTACTGCTAAGGTCATTACTCCCGTAAGTAAAGTGCATGCTTGTATTGCGGGAGGTGGCAGTGATCTCCCGCTGGTTGGCGAAATCAGGCGCCGTCCGGAACGGCTTGTGTGGATTTTCCTTGACCAGGAATCTTCCACCAGCGTGGCACCACCGCAGCCGGGACAAGCTCTAAGCAACTAGACTCCCGACATGTGTGGTGGTGTCGTGCATGCGAGTGTAAGTAAGGGGGGAGGATGGAACAAGGGAAAAGAAGAAAAAATAGTGCGCGGTCCGTGGCCCGTTTGTTACGGTACTGCTTCGGCATTCGCCTGGTGATGATCGGAGAAACCACGGAAAACTACCGATAAGAGCAGCCTGCCTAGAATTCTCCTCCAGACACCGGCTGAACGCGACCTAGCTGACAAGCTAGCGTCGAAAAACCTGCCACGACCGGTGATTCTCGAACCCTAGGGCGTCCTGGTCGGAGGCACTGCAGAGATGCATCAGTTGATGCGCTGAGCCACCTTTGCCGGTGGAAGTTGATCACGAATTGAATAATGCCGAGTTTGACTAGTTTTTTTCGAATCAGTCTATGTATTAGCTGTAAGTTCAAAAGTTGTGGTAGCGAACATTGATAATGTGCTTTGTCGTCTGTGTCACTGATCAATGAAAGTATTCGACTCATCGTTAAAAGCGAATGTAGTTTTTGTAGTGATTTTGGAATCAATTGAATCAATCTTGAAGAAATTTTTGAATCAATTTTAAGAGTTTATTGAAATTAGAAAATATACCATGGAAGTAAACTCACGTGGTAATGTTTTCACAGTCGTTGACACTCTCGGACTATTAATTGTTTTCCCGAATTCCTTAACACTTAGCTCAACCTGAACAAAAAAATCATAATTAGACACTTAGTGATAAGAGAAGCAGCAAATCGACTGATGAAAGGATGTGATTAATGTTCGTTCTTCAAATATTAGAACACTAAAACAATTCAGCTATAATAATAATAATAATAAAAATAATAATAATAATAATAATAATAATAATAATAATAATAATAATAAATAATAATAATAATAATAAATATTAATTATTATCCTGAAAGCGAACTGATATGATAAAGTGGCAAACAATGTATATTAAATGAAGTACAAATTTTAAAAGAATGCTAGTAGAAAGAGTAAATCAAATATATTAATATTAAATATCCTTAAAATCGACGATTCTTGGATATTGAATGCAAATTAAAATTATGGTTTCTCTTAAATACTACTTAGGTAAAAAAAACATAGAGGGTTGTACATTATTTTTTCGCCTGTCGGGATGCTCATGGAGAGTGTGCTAGTATAATGTAATGTGCGTCGATTCCTGGACGGGACAAAAATGAAGCTGTAGGTTTCTAAAGGTAACCGTCTCCGTTTCTCTAGCTCAGGCAGGCCAAGTAAGCTAGGTGCGCCGATGGGAATATGTCATTCTCGCCTTATGTCCCCCTTATCTCCAAGCGTGGATAATAAATGAAAGTAGGGCTCTGTCCTGGGAACACTGACAGCAGGCAAAAGTCGAATAAATCTGACCCTAAATGCCAAATACATACAAACATATCATTTTTATTCAAAATGTTAAGTAATAGTTTATTTTTAAAACAAAACACACATTCGTGGCATTAGTGAATGTAAAAGGTAAGTTAAATGTATTTGATTTTAGTCGTATCAATTTATTACGTTTCTCACGCGAAGAGCAGCGTTAGGAATAATTACAAAAAATGTGGCTGGATAATCATACGTTAAGAGGTGAAAAATAAAGGTAATTAATAATAAGAATTTCACTCACCGAAACATTGTATGTGATGTTTGGAAACACACCATTTTCTATTCTCAGATATTTTTCGCCCGTATTTAGTGTCAGGATATTTTTACTTTCTTCAAATACCAATTCTGGCATTGTTCTGGTGAACCAATAGCGAAAACGAAAGGTTACTTCCTTTGGACAGTTTCGAGGTGGCATTCTCCACGTCAACGCAATCCAGTACGCATCGAATGAATGAACTGAGAGGTTGTACACGGGATCCAACTCATCTGTGCAAACACATATTGATGCATATCTGTGCAAACATATCGATACACTTACGCGAGTTTGAACATCGCGCTCCTGATTGGAAGGCAAATCTTTTGCACTAGTGTTTGTTAGGTACCGTATACGTATTCTGACTACGCCAAAACGCGTACTTGCCACATTCGAGTTGAGGATGAGTTGGTAATTAATCAGGGACGCGATGTTCAGAATTGCAAATGTGCAACACTTTTTAATGATTATATATAGCAATCTTAATCCTGTATTTATTTACTTCTGATATCATTTATATTGTTTGAACAACTTCTGTTGAGAAGGCTTTGTCTTAAACTGAAGCATGAAAATTTTCATCTTTTGCTTTTTGCGATTTACAAGTCTTTTACCATTTTAAAATATTGCATTTGTCTGGACTAAAACTGACCTGTTAGTGAGCAGAATTCACATTCGGAGATGTCACTGTCATTTAATGGGGTTTGCTTAGATATTACTTGAAGCTGATACAGAGTTGTGGGCTGGAACGGCGCTTCCATTACGTCAGCAATCTCTGCTGTTACCATTTGAGGATACTCCTTGCTCAGAGTCCATATTTTTTCTTCTTTCATCTGTTTAATAGGTATCACTGTTCAGTACGCAGGAGAAAGCTTCTTTGTGACAGGATATAAATAATCTTACCTTGTAAAGTACATCCAATTTAATAGGTTTCCCTCCGAATCTCTTAGGAATAATGTATCTATACGAAACTTGCTGATTCGAAATGCGGTTGCACACGAGAGGGTTATCTGGAAAAAGCCATGGGAGTATAAATTGAAGGTTATAGAATTCGTACCAATTGTTTCACGAAACTGCATATACTATGGTTTTGAGTATCGCTAGGACCTCTCGTGACATTTTTTATTGGTTTAATAAATGAGAATAGAGGAAAAGCATACAAGCGTTCGGCGAAGACTTGACAAATGAATAGTACTTTGAATACTATGGACGTGTTAACAAACAAAAAATGTCAGTGCCTGAGGGCTTTTGGACTTGTGAGCAGTCGGGCTGTCGCTGGAAGCCTCTAGACATGTAAACAAGCTAGGCCACTCTCCTATTATAGTGCCCTTTGAAGAGTCCCAATTGATTTCTGAGATGGTTTGCTGCATCGGTGTGGTTCTGCACATTAACGTGATCTTTTTATGCCTTTGTAGTTCGCTGGGTGGGTCTCGCATTTGTACGAGGATTTTGATGCTTATTGTCTGATTTATTGGATCTCTAATCCAATACATTAAAAATATTTTCACCCAATTATTAAGTTACCATTTCTATCCAAGACTTTGGAAAAGTCTGGGATAGTAAACTCGTGAATCATATTCATCAAAATATAATTATTCATTTTGTCCAATCTGGATTTTATTCTGGTTGTAAAGCCTCACTAGGATTAACCTTTGTGAACAATCTTGTTCTCTTAAATTCAGAAAAGATTAATCTTTCCGCAAGAATCATTCTACTGCAAGATTACTCCATTGCTTTTGACACGCTAAATCACATTATACCCAATAAGCTATTCTCGTCATCAGGAAATCTCAGACTACGCGTTACATTTTCTTCCTATGACGGTGAACAGTATCAAATGGTTCTATGCTGTTACGTGTTAAGTGTTAGTAACGTGTTAAGTACACTATCAACTTTCTTTGAGAATAGTATCAAGCATTTTCGGCGCTGCATTCTTGGCCAAACATTCTGTACTGATGAGCCAAAAAACTGGTACAAACATGCGTCTTGCAATAGAGAGATCTGGATTCAATCAGAATGCGGCGTTCCGGTCGGCATAGACTATACAAGACAACCAGAATCTGGCACTGTTGTTAGATTGGTTACTGCTGCTACAATCGCATGTTATCACTATTTAAGTGAGTTTGAATGTAGTGTTATAGTAGGTGCAAAAGAGATGTGGCATAGCATCTCCGAGGTTGCGATGAAATTTGGATTTACCGTACGACCATTTCATGAGTGAATATCTGGAATCCGGTAAATCATCAAACCTCCGGCATCGCTGCGGCTGCAAAAAGATCGTGCAAGAACGGGACCAACGACAACTGATGAGAATCATTACGCGTGACTGAAGTGCAACTCGTCCGCAAATTGCTGCAGATTTGAGTGTGGGCCGACAACAAGTGTCATCGTGCGAACCATTCAAGCAGACATTATCGTTATGAGGTTTCGGAGTTGAATGCCCACTCGTGTACTTTTAATGAATGCACGACACAAGGCTTTACACCTGGCTTGGGCCCTTCAACATTGACATTGGAATGTTGATGATTGGAAACACGTTACATGGTCTGACGAGTCTCGTTTTACATTGTTTCGAGCGGGTGGACGTATACGAGTTTGACGTCAACCTCATGAATCCATGGACCCTGCATATTAACAGGGGACTTTTCAAGCTGGTGGAGGATCTGTGATGGTATGGGGCGTAAGCAGTTGGTAAAGTGCCTCCAGAAACACACTTCTGAATTTAAATACTTCCTAATCCCCAGACAAGAATCTTATTGAACATATCTGGGATGCCTTGCAACGTGCTGTTCAGAAGGGATCTCCACGACCTCGTACACTTACGAGTTTATGGACAGCCCTGCAGGATTCATGTTGTCAATTACCTCCAGCGCTTCTTCAGGCATTAGTCGAGTCCTTGCCACGTCGTATTGCGGAACTTCTGTGTGCTAACGAGAGCCCTTCACAATATTAGGCAGGTGTACCCGTTTTTTTTTTTTTTTTGTTTTTTCAGGGTATAAAATGTTTGTAGTTTTGCTACGGATTAATAAAACGTCTACAATAATGTCATATGCTGATTGCAATCTTATACTTTGATCTTTACTGATACAACAATTGTTGTTATTTATTGCTAACGGAGTTCTTCTAAACCCTCCAAAACCTCTCTTTTCTTGTGGTCGATCTTACGAAGCATTTCGTGTTTTACGTAAGTCATTGATGGAAACCCAAGTACATGTTGTTGAGGACAATTGAAAACTAGGTCTGACTCACCTCTAGACGGACATTTGACAAACATATCAAACCTATTTATTACTGGTTACAACGGACTGAGATTCATATTTTTAAAATAGATTTCTCTTAACAAAATTAAAACAACTGAAATTACAAGGGATTAATACATCAAATTTATCACATCGTACAGCCTATTGAACTTTGTTGGTTGATGTTCAGCAGGAAAAAGCGTGGGATGTTCAAAATACTTCTCTACGATATAGTTATTCGTTCTATAAATACAGTCATTTGGCTGATGCTATTTTGGTTTAGTATGCATATTACATCACACATATTACAACTGGATTGTTCCACTTTATCGTACTAGGACCCGGCAATCAGAGTATTTGTGTAAAAAAAAAATCGCCGTTTCAGGCGCACGATTACAATATTTTCTGATCTTACGTTAGTAAGTGCAAGAAAGTGAATACAGAAGGCGTCCCGTAAGCTCGTACACGGAATGCACACTCAGTTGCCTCACAGAGGAAGAGCTTATGGAATAATTGAGGTGTAGTTGTAATACATGAGGAATGCCACCCAGGTTTAAAATATTCATGTCTTAAGCGGGTTTCGAACCCACAGCCTTAGTGTTCCGAGCACAGAACGTCACAGAATACATGTTAAAGCGGATTTGGAGCAGTTGAAAAAAAATCCACCTCCTCAGAAGAAGTTGTATTCTTCATCACACTTAAAGTTTATTTGAAATATGAAATACGCTCATATTATATACAATGTGGTTTACGAGGAGACTGTTCTTAAGTGGAATAGAAGTACCGCGCAGCCAATGGTGAAGAGAGTTAAAGACTTCTAGAGAAACTACTTCCCCCACCAATCCAACATTGCGGTAAGATAATAAACTATAAAAATATTTGTTAGTTTCTTATCGAGTTACAAACGTGTTCTTTGAAACATGAGCAAGCACGTAGTTGAAAACACTTCTGCTTCACTAACATCCGTCCATTCTTTATTTTGATTTGAAGCAGTAGGGGGGGGGGTAAATTTAACAATTCATGATGAAGATACATGGAAGTGCAATAGCTTGCTTAAGATGTAAGAAAGATGATTCCAGTCACATATACAGCAAATGTGGATCTGAAACGCTCCTTTTGAATGTATAAATATTTTAAAATTTAACGAAATATGCAGTAATAGTAAAAATATGAAGAAATATGTGTATATAAAAATATGTATAATAAACATTGTTCTAGTTCATTCAGATTATCTTGAAAAAACCCAAAAATATTATTGAGTGCATGTATCTTGTTCGTGTAAAAACATATATTTGCATAAAAAATGTATTCCCTAGAGATCGCGGTTCCCTCACCGTTTCATTGATAATTCTGAGATTTCTGACAGGCATTCGTTAGATTGTGAAGGGCACGTGACACAAAGCTTGGCTAATGGGAGCTACGTGAGGATGTACTAGCCCGAGGGCCATCCAGATCCTGTCTCCCCAATGGATTTACAATAGCTATACAACATTAAAATTTTCTATTTATCAGGAGAAATTTTCGATTTTTTATCTGCCATTTAGTATAAAAGCAGCGCGGAGGTGTTTAGTAGCGGTATTTCCAAGGAAATTGGACATACATTCTCTGACTATATAGTGATTTTTTTTCGATTTTCTTAGACAAAAGGTAGATAAATCACTTGACTTTAAGTCGATGATTAGTTCAGTTGACTTGAAGTTATTGTCATTAGAACGTGTCATAATTTATTTGGTTGCGGATGATGTGCGATTGTTATTGTGGTGCGTTGAACATATCTCGATGTCCTGGTGAGCTGCGGTTGCATTCCCAATACCCCATATAGTGAGGATAAGATAGAAGCCTCCTAGGCAGACGCCCAGCTGTTCAGTTCTGGCATTGGTGCTGTTTTCCACTTTTATAAGTATTGAAAAGTAGCTTCCCTTAGCTCCTTCGTGCCATTGCCATTCAGATGTATTGTTGTACACCTCACGAAGAGTACGTGGAATGTTTTTCAGGTGCGACGGGTTGGGAAGTTGACGTAATTCGTTACTTCAATTCAGAGTTGTGAACGCCCGCATTCCAGGCTCTTGCGCACGCGCGTTATTCAAGCATAGCTGGCACTGTGTGGTGGCCCGTGGTGAGAGGTTATGTGTGCAATTAGGTATTCCCGGTACACTATTGACATTGTTTATCTCAGATTATTGAATGATTTCTGAAGTGGAATAACTTATGTGACTAGCTCTAGCCACCATTTCTCGTTCAAAGTCTTTTAATTTCCGTCGTACGGCCATACTCACGTCAGGAACATTTTTACATTAATCACTTGAGTATAAATGAACGCTCTGTCATTGCACTGTCCTTAATACCGTTTATATGCGATACTACTGCCTTACACTTGCTACTATATTTGCTGATTGCTTTCCCATGAGTTTTGTAACCTAGGTTTTTAAAAAAAAATATACACTAGATTTTCTGAAGAACGGCTCCAAATTTTCTAAATTATTCTCTAAACATTTTGTACCGATAGTGTCAAATGCTGTGTATGAGATGACATAAAAGCCAATTTGTGCTATTCTCTTCTTTATTTACACAAATGGTATATTTTTATATCTCTCTTGCGTCTTTAATATTTAAATCACCAGCAATTTGTATACTTAATTGTATTTGTGAGTACACGTGCTTTAAATAATGTCTTATAAAGTTTCTCCAGAACTCATTACTTTTCTGAGAAAATAAAATCAAAATTGCGTATTTTCAGAAATGTTCAAATATTTTAACAAAAACGGCGCCACATTTTTTAAGCAAAAAATGTGCAGATTTTATCAGGTTTTACTTTTCTATATTACCGAACAATTTAGAAAACGTTTCAAATTTTTCTTCTAGATGGCAATAGATATCAGCTGGGAAGGGGCTAGAGCAAATCAGAAAAACTAATCCAGATTAAAGCGATTAGTCTAATTTACTAATATGAGAAATTCAGTGTCATTCTGCAGCTCCTGCAGTTAATTAATGTCAGGAATATAGGTTGGAAAATATTAATAGTTTCCGCGCAACTTTCAATAGAAACTATAGAAACTTTTAAAACCAGATTTTCCCAAAAATAGCTCCAATTTCTTTATTTGTTTAATAAATATTGCAAAATGTACTTAAGAACATACCTTTAACGCCATTTTGATGCACTTTTTTATTTTCTTAAATTACAGAAATGTATTTTTATATATCTCTTATGATATTAATATTTTTATAATAGGAGCAATTTTATACATTATTATTATTGTGAGTTCAGTGCTTCCAATGATTTCTCGTGAAATCTCTCGAAAATTCAAAAGTTTTTGTAAACGTTTTTTGTGAAAGGTTGTAAAATATTTGTAAAAAATATTGCACTTGCCGGAATGATAAAGCGACATTTTCTCAAAAACCAATTTTTCGACGAAAATTTGTTTTTAGGATCAGGTTTACTCTCATTGTACTGGAAGCCATATTTTAATTGTCTATTAGGGGACCAAAAAGTGAGAAATTTGGAAAAGCGTCTTTTAGGCGTCAATAGGTAGGAGCTTGGAAGAGGGTGGGTAAAATCGAAAAACGAGAAAAAAAAATATTGGAAACTCACTAGTACGAGAAAGTCGGTGCCATTATACGCGTTATTTAAGCTATGCGCAATAACAAGAAAAGGGACTTGTGAAGTTGGGATTTTAAATAATATTGGGAATAGAGATAGTAAGTGTAAAAGAATGTCTTCCCTCTATTACGTTTTCCACATTTGTTCAAATCTGCTGCAAACGTTATACGACATGTCTGGATACACTTGCATTTGAGAGCAACAATTTACTTGTATGGGAAAGTAAAATCAAACCAAAGCAGAGATCTCTGATCACAATTTGACACGTTTCCACCTTCTCAGTTCTCGGATTGTTCCAAATATAGATGAACTTGTAATTAAAATGTGATAAACAAAATTTTATACATTCTATTTGTGGTAAATTTGCATTACTAATTTAACTAACGATGTTTATATGCTTTCTCTATATATTTGTTAGTGATATACTTAAATTATGCTATGCATCAATTAAATCGTTTTGGAATACACTTATGGACTTGCAAGTGACGTTTCCGCTTTCAATTTTACTGGCAATACTGGCACTACAGTTACGAGTGGCCGTGCCCGCTGGGACAGGGGCACAATACAATTGTCAGAGCGGGCAAAACCATGTCGGCCCTCCTGTAACCATTCTCAAACTCAGTGTCAACAACTTTACCTGTGTCAGACGGCGTACAGAGAGTTCCGTGGAGAAACGAGAGTAGCAGCAGGCGCGTCAGTAGTGTCAAACATCCGGTCTTTGGGTCCGCAGCCATTGTAGAGTCGAGCAGTTATTCGGACGGGGGCTCCGGGCAGTCCCGCTTGAGCGTACGGACAGTGCGAGGAGGTCGACCAGGAACAGCGCGCCGCACGTGATGTCAACGAGGCATGGCCTGCTCGCTTACGTGCGTCGCTCTCCGCTGGTGCGGCCTTCACGGGCTGTAACGGCAAATGATAGGACCCCAAACGCCGAAAGGCTGAGTCCAAGTCAGAGTCTGAAATGGAACAGAATAGTAATTTCAGTTATTTTCTTGCTCATTGTGAAAGGAACAAACAAGCCAAAGTACAGAACTTGCTATTTCAAAGCGTTGATCCAAATTTGCTATAACTATACTAATTGGCTAAAATGATACTATTAGTAATTAAAAGACACGCGTAATATTTATATTTGTATTCTGTTTTTGCACCTTTGCCTACTTATCTCAATAGTTAATACTCCTTCCGTAGAATTCCCGCGAGACACTGAGTAGTAAAATCAAAATGAACTGTACATTATATTAACAAACACATGACTTGATAAGAACAGATAAAGTCTAAAGTTCGATGTCGCGAATAAAGTTTTGTTTCTCTTGTGTTTAGTATACTAAAGTTTTTTAGAAGGAGTAAAAGGCAAGTGGTACCATCTTCAAATAGAAGAATGCCAATTTTAGCTGTACATGCCAAACTATATTTTTGTTTGAAAACACGCAAATTAAAAGTTACTTTAAATTGAGTGAAGAGCGTTCTCGTTGGTGTCAAATAGTGTTACATTTATTTCTTTTTAACGTGGAGGATATTACGTGATAATATTTTTTTGCACAAAATGAGGAAAAGTAGATTATTGTATTAATACGTTTTTATTCTTTCATGGAACTTGACAATAAATGTTATTTATGAGTGTTATAAGAGACATTGGAAATATAACATCACTCATATTACTGCCGCCACAAATTGCGTTTGGCGTTCTGTAGTTGTGTTATGAAATCCTGAAAATGATAATTATATCCCAAAGGAAGGAGTACAAATGGTTATGTAAGTGATAGATAAACACACAAACAACTTCGATTTCAATGCTATAACATTTCGATGCTATAACATTTCAATGCAAGTTCAGAAACACTTGTCAAAATCATTTCTAAAATTTGTAATGGAGTAAATACATTGTAAAGACAATACACACGAACCATATTTTGACAAGTCTGACTTTTTCTACCTATTCTTATATTTGTTTCCTCCGAAAATAGTGTCACCTATAGGCGTGCACATCATAAAACCAGAGGAGGACCAACTTCATTTCAGGGCAACATTAATATAACATTTTATAAAAAATACTACTTTTAATAAAATTATACGTTTAATAATACATTTAATTAATACAGTTGGCTTTTTTGTTGAACCATAAGGATCTCGGATGGCTTGGAGAGCCTCTTCCTGAAATGACGCATAACAATTCATCGAATTGCCAAGTTAAAAAATACTAAAATCAGGGAATGAACAATTAAACAATGTCGTACTGCACGATGCTACAGGGTCCCTTTGAAAATTTTCACGGAGAGACGGAATCCCCCCCCCCCTCTGCACTCGCCTACGGTGCCAACCCCAAGAGAGAGAAGTAGCAGACCTACCTCCCGAGCAGACGCGTTGGAGAGCTCCGTCTCGAGCCGTCTCGCCGCCTCGCAGCACTAACCGCGCGGGCCGCTCATGGTCCCGACTCGGAGATAGCGCGCCCCCCGGGCCGCGACGGACGGTCGGAGGTCACTGTCGCAACTGCGCCCGCGAGGCCGGCCGCATGGAACGCCCCCCCCCCCACTCCAGCCGCGTTCGTTTTGCTCGCTTCCGGCTAATTCATGTGCGCCGTTTCTCAAAAAACGAAGTGATGTAATGTGATGTTGGCGGCGAATCAGTTTCGTCAACGCTGGAAAGTACTGTGGCAAGTGTGGGACAGTGTAGTAGAAACATCGTTATCTGAAATGATGTGATGTGAGGAATTTCCTCCCTCAAAAGAATATATTTACTCAGCTCGAGATATAAATGCTGCTCGTATCTTTGTTTGGTTTCTTCGGAAAAATGCTTACGTGTCTGTTGCGTAGTACTTGTAGAATTCAAAAGTTATGCACCTCGTAGAATAATTAAGTAAATTATTATTATTATTATTATTATTATTATTATTATTATTATTACAATTGCACTTGTTATTGTTATTATTTTTATTGGTACAGATGAGTACTTTACTCTTGGCAAATGTATTTAAAAAATTGAATTTGTCTGTCGAGGCATTCGAAAACCCTTTTAATAATTAACAAAAAAATATTTTTGTTATTATTAATGATTTTAAAGTATATATTTTTACACAAAAAATGTTATTTCAGAATTTGTATTATAATATAATGTATTTGAGGAACAGTATATTGACAACTCGCCTTTGAGTCTCCGTTTTTTAAAAACTGATTGAAGCTGATTTCGCAGGCTTAATGACGCATACAACTCCCGGAGTTCGACTGAAAATTAATAAATGACGTTGTGGCAATGAAAAGACGCAGTTGTTTCAGACATCATATGCTTTACATAATGCAATTAAGAGAACAATTGATTGATTTGTGTATCGAAAATTAACATTAGTGTTGAACAAGAAGTGTTGTACTGTCGTATTTTTAATTATTTGTAAGTTACTCCACAAATTATTCCTTTGGGTCGGGACTTGTGATTTATTTTATTAATGAATTTTTAGACAATTATACATAATTATACATAATAATACATAATTAGTGTACTCTCAAACTGATAAATGCTGCCATAAGGTGCGTGGGGAAGAGAGTCCTCGGCAGATGCTGCCATTACGTAACGAAGCTGCAGTGTCCGTTGTGGCCTCCCGGAGCAGCGCCTAATGAAATGAGATTACGCGATGAAATTTCCTTCGAAAACACGAGCAGGGGCGTCCTTTGGAGTTGCGCAGGAGGATCCCGCGTCCCGAAATGTTCCTCCTCTCGCGGCGCCGAGTCTGCGCTTTCTGGACGCGGCCTCGCTAAGCTCCCCCCTGCGGCTCTGTCGCACCGCATGGTAACGCAATTGCGTCCGCGGCTTGCCTCGTTAATGGCCGCGCCGCGCGGCGCCGCCACCGGCCCATTAACGTAAGTGATGCGCACCCCCATGCAGATTACGTTTCAGAACTTCAAAGGTGAACGGTGGCCACCATTCCGCTCTCGCGGTTCTTTCGGAGTTTAGCCCTCCTAAGACTTCCAATAATCCCTTCCCGTTCTTCCATGTACTGCTCATGTAGTGATATGGGATGTACATAGGTAGATATGAAATATGCACATATTGTCCTTTATGGCAAACTAAAATGAAGAAAATTTAGAGTCCGGGAGAGATGGCACAGGTCATCAACTTATTTCACCGCAGTCCCTCTGACCGGGAGGTCCTAGGTTCGAGTCGCGACGGTGGCAGGATTTTCGGCACTATCTTGTTGGCTAGGTGGAATTCAGGCACTCTTTGAAGGAGAATTCAAGCGGCCGGCTGCTCTGATCAGTAGTTTTCCGTAGTTTCTCCGATCAGCACAAGGCGAATGCCGGAGCAGTACCCTACCAAACGGGCCACGGACCGCGCGCGATCTTTCCTACCTCTTCCTTGTCCTATCATCACGCCTTACACATTCACACCACACTTACACCAACATGCACTACACTACGGCCACATCTGCCGGAAGACCGGTCGTGATCTTAGAGCTTGTTCCGGCTGGGGCGGTGCCTCGCTGGTGGGTGATACCTGGTTGAGGAATACCCCGGTAGCCGACGGTAGATCGGCGCCGGACCTCCCCATACAGAGGGAGGGGGGAAATCACCGCCACCGCCAGAGAAAAAACATGCACTACACTTACGGGAGCAGTGACTCTGGTAGTTGACGTGTCCTGACTCACTAATCAATCAGTCAAAGGAAATTTAGAAAATTATTTTTAAATGCATTTCATTAAATGAAATGTGAACGAACGATATTTCAAACATATTTATTTGCATTCAATTCGTTTAGTTGGGGAAAACCCTGCTAGATCATATAACATCAAGTTTTTAGAAGAATTTGTTGTGTCCAAGACTTTTCTGTTTCAGCGAATAGATACGACTATGAATTCTTTAGATTTGATTACGGTTATGTTCAGACTCTTTCTGTGAACATCTTTGCCCAACGTTCATTTCTTGAAATGAAGAAAAGAGTAGAAGCAACTAGAATTGATGAGAAACTCACATTTCAATAATGTGATAATAGTAGTTTAGGCAATAAGTTTATAATGTTAGGTTTTATTGCATGAGTACACGTTTTGAATACGAGCGACGTTAGGAGCGTCTTTTTTAAAGTTTGTACGAATGCAAAAAGAAACATTATAAGCGCCTTGCGTACACATTTTTTGTACAACAGCATTATCAAATTATAAAACAAACTTACTTTTGCGAAACAACTTTCTTGTTACTTCTCGGACATTTGACATCTATGCGAGAAAACGGTGTTCGGCTGTCCCTTTTACCGCTATCTCCCCTCGATTCTCTCTCTGCGATGGGCCGAATTTGTCATGACGCAATCGTTTGTGCCGTAAGATCTAATACGTCATGAGCGATTTCTTGCAATACGAAAGGTCGTTTTTAATGTTGGTGTGCAAAACGCTACTACTAGGATACACTGCCATAAAAGTCTGCTCTTCGTAAGACTATTGATGTTTAATTTGTTTTCTAAGATTCTTCCCTGCTTAGTCTTTCAATTTTTAGAAGTTTAATATAGACAATAGATTCTAGCCATTTATCAAATGGCTCTAAAGTAGGGAGTAAATACTATTTGAGATTGAATCGGCCTGACTTGTTTTCATAATTCTTTCATTCTTTAAATAAATTGATTGGAAATAGTGGTTATTTTTGAAATGTTATAAAACCTCGATTCTTGCAATACGTCTTGAATACTCCATTGATATATTTGAACGGATTTTAATTAGGTATGAGATAACGTTTCACCACGTCACTTTTAATATGCTACATAGACTTAACAAGATACAGACAAGAACACCGCGAAGGTAACATTTTTCTTTCACCTTCTTAGGAGTATAATGAATAACACAAATGCATTTATTCACATTTCACTAATATTTTTGACAATTCGGTTATTAATGTTTCATATATCTAACATAAAGACCTTTCAAGATCACGAGCTTAAAAGGGGACACTGACTTCCAAAGAAGAGTTTCAATACCAAACATACAACTCGTAACGAAGATCGTGATCCACCGCCCCCTGTCCTGCCTGCTCGTGATCTTGAAGGAACTTACTGTTTTAATCCACACAACAGTTTCTGATGCGGCGCTTGTTCATATATTAATATAATTCTTAAAACATTCTGTAATCGGGTAAAGTATTCAACATCGACATATCAAAATCTTAAATCTCGAGAGGCCGTTAAAAGTGGAGCATATACTCACACTTCACCGCCGTCAAGTGCACAGATATATCGTATGAACTCTTGATTTGACACCGGCTTAGGTGACTGGATGCCTGCAGTATCTCTGACCGGGATGTCCGAAGATTTGAGGCACGTCGGTTGCAGGATTTTCGATTCTTGCTGAATCTGTAGGTGAAATTCAAACGAACTCGAGAGAATTCCAGCGGCCAGGTGCTCTGTTCGGTAGTTTCCCGAAGTTTCTCCGATCAACAACAGGCGAATGCCTAAGCAGTCCCCCAACAATCGAGCTACGGACCGAGTGCGATATTTCCTTCCTGTTCCTTGTACCCTCACCCCTTATTTACACACACACGCACCACACTGTCGCACCAGTGGGGATTATAGAGCTTGTCCTGGTTTGGCTGGTACCTCGCTGATGGGAAGAACCTGGTTGGGGATAACCACGCAAGCCCATGGGTAAGTCGGCGCGGGATCTCTCCATCCAGCGGGGAAGATTATCGCCTCCTCCCACGAAAAACATGCTAAATCGTGAAATCATAGTAGGTTAAACTCCAAGGCTTCGGACCCCCATGCGGCGTACCGGACTGTTGTACCCAAGTTCAAGGCGGGTTCAAACCCGATCGAAGCCGTGGATTTTTAAGGGCGAAAAAAATCCTTCGTACGCCTTCCTTCGGAGGGGAAGTAAAGCCGACTGTCCCATGTTAGTAGATTTACTTGCATGTAAAAGTAATAATCCTCAAGCCTAAATGACGCCTCTGAGCTAAATTCAAATCGCCAGTTTCTCGCCCAAGAAATACCTCCTTTCTCTGCTAGTTGATGAAAGGAGCGTAGCGAAATTTGCGTGGTCAGACGGAAGAGCGGGCCTGATGGCCCGAGTCTCGCCACGTAAAATAAGGGAAATTCAACTCAATTCAATTCAATTCAAAAACATGCAGTATACTTCAGGTACTAGTAACTTCAGCATTTGACGCCCCCAGAATAACTCATCAATAGATCTAACTTCCTCACGATAATTCTTTCAAAACGAATAAATTTTTAAGAAAAAGTAGAATATGCGAAAATAAAAACCGCGTGTTTGCTTTTACCAGTCTTATGATTTAAGAGTATATAATTAAAAAATGTCAATAAATTGATAAGTTATATCTCTCTAAGATTCATTTCATGACACAGCTGCTGAAGGGGGGAATGAACACAATTTTATTTATCTCTTCATTAGCTCGTATGTTATTCTGGCGAAATGCTAATAAATACCCTTTTATTCTTTCAAATATTCTTTTTGAATGATGTAAGATGCAATGAATTAACAAATTTGTTACGTTAATTTCTAATGTGTGTTGTGAGAAAAAACAGATAGCAAAATTATGGAGTAAAGATA